TGGCATGTTTTACTGGTGTATATTAACTAATATAGAGAATCTAAAGTAAAAACACTGTAATTAATATGTAATTAGGTGTAATTGATGTTATCTTTCTTTTCAAGAAATACTAGAGGCCCTTCTTAGGTAACTATACTATACTATATATGTACTATAAATACTATACTGTACTATTACTATATAAGGTTGGAAATCATCATGGTTATGCGGACTCTGTTGAATGCCGCTCTTAAAAGTTCTGCACTACTGCATTCAAACCATTCCCTTAAGTTCTTAAGCCAGGATATTTTTGTCTTCCCACGTTTCGCTTTCCTCGGATTTTGCATTGCATAATAAGTTGTAATAATGCGTATTTTTGCCCTCTCATCACATGTCTTAAGTACTCAAGTTTTCGTCTTTTGATAGTTAATATTATTTTCGCCTCATTTCCTATCCTTCTAGTTACTTCCACGTTTAACATTCTTTGAATCCATGATATTCGTAGAATTCTTCTAAAACACCAAAATTGAAAGATGGACTTATTTTAATGTTCACGATTCCAAGCCATAAAGAAGAGTAGATAACACGAAACATCAAAGCATTATCAAGCGTAGTTCTAACCTTTTATCCCGACAATAAAGAAACTTTTTAAGTTTAATAAATGATGCACGTGCTATTTCAATACGTGTCTTAATTTCTTTGGTTTGGTCTACATTTGATGTTATCCATGTTCCTAAATATTTATAGTTATTAACACTTCCAATTGCAGTATCTTCAATAGTCAATTGGATATTTGCATGTGTAGATTTAGTCATGATTATGCTCATACGCCGTACTTATAACAGCGTTCATTAGGACGTTGCATTACGTTCTGTAAATCATTGTTGTTATTCGTCATTATTACTGTATCGTCTGCAAAACGTAACTTATTCAAAACTTCTCCATTGATAGATATACCTTCTATTGAGTCTGAGAGTGCTTCTTAAAATACCGCTTCACCGTAGACATTGAAAAGTGGTGGGGACAGTACGCAACCCTGGCGGACTCCTCTCTATATTTTGATATTTTGGGTGTACTGGCTGTCAACTCTTAACCTGGCAGTATGATTTCAATATAAATTAGATTTAATATTTATATCGCGACTGTCAATATTTTTGCTTTTTAATATATCTACAAGCTTTTTATATTAAATCTTGTCAAATACCCCTTCCAAGTCTACAAAACCTAAGTACATGTCCTGATTCATATCCATGCATCTCTGAGCCAGCACATTAAAGCCGAACAAAGCATCTCTGTTACTCATACCATTTCTAAAGCCAAATTGTGTGTCACTAATTTCATATTCAAGAGTTTCAACAATTCTGCTGTGAATTATTTTCCAAAAAATGTTTTAAATGTGTGACTCACTAAAGCTATTGTTCTGTGATCTGAGCAAGTTGTTGCACTTTGCTTTTTGGGTATTGCTACAACGGTCGATTGCAGCCATTGTCTGGGGATTGTGGCAGTCTGATATATTAGATTGAAGAGTTCAACTATTACATCAATACCATCTTCATCGATGAGTTTTAATAATTCGATGGGCACATCATCTGGTCCAGTAGTTTTACCCTCTTCTGTGTTTTTGATGGCATAGATGACTTCTTCTCTTAATATTGGTGGTCCGGTATCATCGGTGATTTCTAATGACAGTTCTTCTCTTTCATCATTAAATAGTCGTTGGATGTAATTGATCCATTGACATAATCTCTCCTTCAAATCAGTAATAATATCCACTTTATCATTTTTAAAGATATTCGTTCTTGTACGTTTTCTAGAACCTGTCATTTCTTTGATTTTTTTTGTGTAAATTAAAGCTATCATACTTTTTATCCAGATCTTCTATTTCCTTGCATCTGTCGGAGAGCCATCTCTCTTTTGCCTCTCGAATTTTCTTTTCGATGTTTCTCTGAATTTCTTTGTGTTTATTCAGGTCTTTTGCTTTATATTTTCTCCGTTCTTCCATAAGTTCAAACAGTTCTATTGTCATCTAAGGTTTTGTTTTTTCTCCAAGTGGTTTGAGGGTTTCGTTTCCAACTGACACAAGGGCATGTTGAATTTTTCAAAATTTTTGGTCAATAGTTAGAGTTTCCGCATTATCTTATTCGACTTTCCTAAGTTCTCGTTTATTTTAAATTTCATTTCCGCATATGTCTTGTGTTGTTTGAGACTTCTTGTATCCATGATTTTCTTGGTCTAGGGCTGTTGACCTTCTTTAGTTTCACTCTCATCGACAAAACAACCGGGTTGTGATCAAAGGATACGTCCGCTTCTGGATAAGTTTTAGATGATATTATAGAATTTCTATATCTTTTGTTGACGATAATATAATCTATTTGATTTCTAACTATTTTGTTGTTATTGTCAGCTGGTGACCTCCATGTATATAGTCTACGTTTAGAAAGGTTGAACAAGGTATTTGTAATTATGAGTTCCTCATTGACACAGAAATCGACAAGCCTATCCCTCCGGTCATTTCTTTCCCCGAGTCCATATCGCCCCACGCAATTTTTCACTTCTCCTTGGCCCACTTAAGCATTCAAATCGCCCATTATATTATTTATATCTTGTCTTTTAGGTAGCCTCAAGACATTGTCGATTTGTTCATAGAATGCCTCTATGGTGTCTTTATCCTTGTCTGCAGTGGGTGCATATACTTGGCTTATATCTATTTTACGTTTTAAATCAGAGTTTAGTGACAGAATTAATACTCGATCAGAGAAGGGAACAAAGTTACAAACAGCTTTCTGAGAATTGCTATCAACTATAAGGCCAACTCCCTGTTTGTGCTTGGAGTCGTTGTTTCCAGAATAATACATTGTTATATCATAGTTTATCTGGGATTCATTATTTTTCAAGCAATAATTGAATAGGAAAATTTGTTTTTTTCATAAAATCTATTATAAATAAAAAAATTATTTACTATTTAGAGCTGTATTTAAGAAGTGTATATATTAATAATAAATATTTATTTTTGCAATAAAAATTATCTCAAATATTTCTAAACAAAAATAAAAACTGAAAAAAAAATTGTTTAAACACATTCGATGGATTATTTAACAACCTAATTATTTAAATAATACATATTCGTAGTATACGCAAAAAGTTCATACAAATTAAAAAAAGAAACGTCAAAATCTATAAACAAGAAACAGAGATACAGTTAACAGCTCCTTCGCCCTCTGCGCTCTCACTGGTTTCAAAGCCGACCAATTTTGAGGACTACAATTTTGAAGCTTTGTGAAGGATTCCATTAAAATGCAATCTTGTTCGAATTTTTCACATTAAAACTTTAAAGTATGTTTTTTCAAATGTACCAAATGTCAAACCCTAATAAGGTTCCTTAATTTTTGATAAACAAAGCTGCTATCAATTTATAAAAAAAGGCACTAACTTCGTCCCAAAGTATCCTAGGTCAACTTTTTTTCCTTTTAAATGTGTAAAAAAATTCATGCTGTCAAAGAAATATGAAAAAAATCAGTTTTGTGCAGTCAATGGTTAAAAAGTTATTCTAATTGTTTATAAGCAAACAATTGACATGTTTTTGCCAAATTATTTGCAATATATAAAATTATTTTTCCTATTTTTTAATTAAATATTAGTAATAAGATAAATCTTCCTTTAGAATCTATCCGTATATTTAATATACCTATGTATTTAATTTTGTAACTTATATTGCTGCAAAAAAATTTAATTTGGGATAAAGTAATTAAATAACTTTTTAAATTCTTTAACCGATGTACTTAAAATTTTGTTTTTATTTTAAGCACTACAAGACCCAACACAGTGTGTAATATAAAGGTTATAAGTTTATTTAAACAAAATGTATTAACAGTTATAAAAAACCAAAATTTTTGACTTATTTTGCAACTTTCTAAGCAATAAATAATAATAGGAACGTTTAGAAAATGCCTTTTTAAAGGTTTTTATATAACTTATAAGTTTCTTCCCTTCTCGAATTAGTTTCAAATGTTTTACTTTGTGTTGATAAACGAAAAAAGCGAAAATTTACCGTTTTTTGACCTTAATTTGATAATAACTAATTTAGTCCAAAAAATCGACTGTAGGAAACACATAGGTTCTTGTTATAGAGGTCCATACTACTCAAATCAACTGTCGGTTGTCTGGCCGGACGAGTGTCACAAACAGGGTATTTTTTTGCTTATTTCCCTGGTCTTTTTTAATCAAAACCTGTTTAGCTTTTAGGCTATGAAGTGCTTAAAAAACTATTTTGTAAGTTTTTAGATCAATTAAACAAATTTTCAAACCCTTATTTTCTAAAGGATTGTAGTTGAAAGGTACTGAACGAGTTACTAATCACGGGTGTATGCAAACTTTGAATAGAAATATCTTAACCAATTTTTGTCTTACAGCAAACAAAAAAAAACAAACCAAATGTTTATAAAAACAAAACATATATTTTTGTACTCTTTAAGATTTTTCGTATCAGCAAATATTGTTGGTTATTTTGAGTCATATATATTAATATCATAACCCAGACATAATTCATTATAGGAGACGCTGACGGCCATAAAAACTGTCTACGTAATAATATGTTTGGTACAAACTAATCTAAATTTTAACTTCAGGAAAATTGGATTGTTACACTGTAATAGGTTTCTTATATTTTAAAGGTATACTGACATATCTGCATATATTTTTCTAAATTTAGTTAATACTATGATTCATTTATTACGAATACTTCAGCAAGCAAAAAGTTTAATAATTTTATCCATGCAAGTGTGAAATAAATGCTATGATGAAAAATATATCTTTTCATTTTTTTTTGCCTGTGTGTAGTATTAGACTGGATGGTTTTTAGTGTTTAATTTGTAGAATTAAAATAAAGAAATGTTTTTCATTAAAAAGAATTAGTATTTTCTTCATACAAAAATAAATTATGCGGCAAACGTGCAAACTTGATTTCAAGGATAAAAAATAAGTCAGCAAGAAATCAGAAACACATTTATTCAGTATTTGACACAGCCTAAATCAGTCGGAATATAAAATGAAGTTTTTAATATTCACGTGTTTTTTAATGATTTCAGGTATGTTAAAATTTAATATGGTTACTTAAAATATTTTACACTAAATTTTTGTATTTTACTAATAATATTTAAAAATAATCACATTTAATTTGACGTTTCGATCGAAGATCAAAAGCTGTTTCCAAATAATTATTTTCGAAAAATGAAATAAACCAGGTTTTCTAATCATAGGAATTAATATACGAATATAGTTTGTAATTTAATGTTATCTGCCCAACTTTTAACGACAAATTAGAATAGAACTTTTTCGACACGTTTCTTTGAGTCGACGTTAATGGGCGATTTTAGTTGATAACCTGCAATAAACTTTAATCTTACAGTTTTCGTTTATTACATATTTACACTAATTCTTACCAATACGCAGTAACTAGTACGCTTAAGCCAGTCTCTCCGTGGTTAAAATATCCTTTATTTATTTTGCGTGTATCTTGTTTCTCATTCCGTTAGTTTTTATACACCACAGTATGTTATAGTCACATGTTTATTCCAATTATATTTGAGTGTGGTATACAGGCTGTCATATATACACATTTACATTTGGAACACTTAGGTACATTATATCAATGTATTATTCATTCGCCTATTTGAAGACCCTTTGTAATATATATGTTATCACCTTAGTACAACTTTTTATTCAGATGAGATTATTTTTTATACCTGAAAATTAGTCACCATAAAAGCTGTTAAAGGACATAACTTTTTCTTTTTCTTCACTACTTCAGTCGGTCTGGATATTAACGATTATGAAGGCTGCCTGGGTTATAATGTACGCTCTTCAAAACACTTCGATGGATATCCTACATCATTCCAAACCATAATCGAAGGTTTTTAAGCCACTAGATATGACGACGTCCGGTTCCCTTTTGTCAAATACTGGGTTCTGGTCGGTTAGTTAAAGATTTAGATAACTTCCTTCGGTGCACATTGTACCCCGAAGTATTAAAATTTAGTCTGTTTCACTAAGTTATGTACTTTGACTACGTAGAGTAGTGATAGCAGATCTCAATTAATTTGTCACAGTGGCATAGTGAAGGTTTTCAAGGCCCTTGTCTTGTATTATTACATTTTTTTCTAGATTATTGTCCGTTGTGTGGAAACATTTTTTTCCAGAAGTTTCAGCTGTAACTGTGGCATTAAATCTTACTAGTGATGCATTATTGGTGGTAACTGACTTCTGCTAATTACGTTTACAGTTAGTCAAAGGAAGTTGCAATAGTTGAGGCATCGGCTCTTATAATGCCCGTTGTGTTATAGTTCTGGAAATCATATATAATTATAGTGGTAAAGTGATCTGGTTCTTATTATGATTATTATTGTTAAGTAATAATCATTATAGGTAACGTTAGTAATGGTAATTAATGATTATTAGTGTGCCGCCGACTTTAAGGGCATTAACAATAATCTGGGCTCATTTTACTCTGTCTTGAGCAGTTTTAAAGGGCTATATTTTTTTTACTCAATTGCTTCAAATTTTTCTTGCAGAATGTTGTCTTCCTGGTTTTCTTTGTTTCCTTCTGAACAACCAATATTGACTAATGTTACGTTTACAATGCCACTTTAACAAAAACCGTTTTTTTTTCTAACAATTTTATTTCCTTATCTTATCGTTTTTGTTCAGAATAATCCAAAAATATAAAAAAAATAGCCAAAAATATACATTTTTAAAATTGGTTTAAATAAAATTACGACCACTTTTTGTATGGGCAACTATTTGAAACTTATTCTGGGGTTGTTCCTGCCTTCTTCTAGATGAGCATCTCGTAGGGGAATAAAACGGGATTTACCAAGAATCTTTACGTCGCGCCTTAGAAAAAAAATATTTGTATTAATTTAACGTAAAAATTTGAATATCTAATTAGCAAAAATCAAAAAGCATTAAAAAGGCGAGCGAGCAGCTTTCTAATGCAATTTTTTATTTTGCCGCCATTAAAGTCAGTTTCTGTAGAAGTGAAAAATTTTAATGATCTCGTTAGAATCGTAAAAAATGGCAAAAATCGCAAAAATCGCACGTTTATACAGGGTGATTGATTAGTGTGAGGAAGCTCAGTAGATCTGTTATAGTAAAAATTACAAAAAAAAGTTATTGACAAAAATTGTAGGAAGCTTTAAACTCCATATTTTAAAATTAGTTACAATCTTACAGTGTGTTCCATAAGATGGTGATAGACTAAATTTATGTTTTTTAAACGGAACAGCCTGTATTTTATTTTAAGTTTGAAATCTGCTTCACTTCCACATCATAACAATGTAAGGTTTTATTATGTTATACCGGGTATTTAAAAAATTATAACCAATATTACCTACAAATCGTATCAAGTTTAACTGTATGTATAATTAAAAAGGAGTATGGGAACATTGTTTTTTAATAATTGTTAAAAACTATAAAACATATTCGTTTCCATAATATTTGTTAAATCAAATTCAAAGTAAGTCAAAATGCAAGTACATTATTTTCTTGGTAGTTTTAAATAGAACACCCTGTATTTTATATCACTATCGAAAAGTACTAATATCGTACTTCAAATTTTATGAAGTACTCCCTATACCTAAAGTTATTAGTTTTCTAGATATTTTTATTTTTCCATCAAACTATTAATTTGATAGATATTTTAACGTTTACTCATATATTGTTAGTTGGCCATGATTGATTTGTCAGAAACTGACCATTTGACATTACTGTTTATTAATTCAGTCACAAACTAACGACACAGAAAAGAAAACAATTTATTTAAAAATAAATACCCTGTATTTGATTTAACGAATATATAAAAACGAATATGTTTTATAATTTTTAATTATTATTAAAAATTGATATAAGGTTAAACACTCGAATAAATGAACTTTGAAAAATTAAAGGCAGATATCGAGCACAATTTTATTCATCGAATCTTGCCCAAGTACTTTCGCTTTCTAAATCATCATCAGGGGCATTTCGTTAAATTTGGGCTATCCAGCAAGCGCAGGACGTAATAAACATGAAAATAAAACATAAATTGTAGATAACACTACACTAAACAAGGAAAAATAGTTTAAAATTATTTGACGCTACATTCTTGTCGGCAACAGGAGAGAGAATTACTATCATATATTGATAGTGAGAAAGTGTTTTTAATATTTAAACGTTTTGGGCACTCTGCTCTAGTTTTGATCTACGGTCTAGGGTTTGGCCATATTTTCTCTCTCTTCAATCCTGACCCCCCAGGGGAGTGTAGTGGTCGACGTGATGTCGTGTATTGTCCGTCTCCAGAGATCTCTGTCTCTGGTCATTTCTTTTAATTCATGCATAGGTCTTTGGCATATTCCTGTAATTTGATCTATCCATCTTGTTGGGGATCTTCCTCGTGATCTTCGGCCTTCTACCTTTCCTTGTATTATAAGTCTTTCCATGTTTTCTGTGTTTGTTCTCATAACATGCCCAAAATATTTTAATTGTTGGAGGTGGACTTTACTAGAGAGTCGTTGGCTAACTTTTAGCTCTCTTAAAATTGAATTATTTGTTCTGCGGTCGGTCCAAGGAACTCGTAACATTCGTCTCCAACAGAACATTTCAGTGGTGGCTTCTCTCCGATTCTCTCAGAGTCCAAGATTCACATCCGTAGGTCAGTATTGGGAATATTAAGCAGTTGATCAACCTCATCTTTATCGCCCTTGAAATTTGACAGTCCTTCCATATTTTGGTCATTTTTGCTGTGGCAACTTTTGCTAGATCAGATCTACGTTTAATCTCTTCTTGTAATGACCCTGTGTTTGTGATTAATGATCCAGATATAAGTATGAGCTCACAACCTCGAACCGGTCAATTGTGGTTATGTGTGGATGATTGTTGTGTAGTCTATCCACTAACATGATCTTTGTCTTTGATATGTTTAATTGCAGACCAAATATTTGACTTTCGTTTTCGATCAGTCGTATAAGTTCTATCAGCTCTGCTTGACTATTTGCAAGAAGGGCTGTGTCATCTGCGAAACGTAGGTTGTTTAGTTTATGACCATTTATTGAGATGCCCTTTTTCCATCCTTCAAGTGCTCTTCGCATAATATACTTCCCATATATGTTGAATAATTGTGGAGATAGTATACATCCTTGTCTGACACGCCGTTCTGGATGAAATTCGTTCGAAAGTGTGTCAAGTACTTTAACTGATCCAGTAGTGTGTTCATATAGTTCGGTTATAAGCGTAATTAGATGTTGTGGTACGCCTACTTCTTTTAGTATTCGCCATAAGTGTCTACACTTGACCCTGTCGAACGCTTTACGGTAATCTATAAAACAGATGTATAGTGGGATGTTAAATTCCCTAGATTTCTCGATTATCTGTCTTATATTCAGCAGGTGTTCTCGAGTGCCTCTACCTTTGGTAAATCCAGTTTGCTCTTGTGGAATTTCTCTTTGAAGGAATGTTTTCAGTCTCTCATTGATTATATGTAGCATTATCTTGCTGGCATGGGATATAAGAGAGATAGTTCTATAATTGTCGCATTTATGGAAGCTGCCTTTTTTATGTATGGTCGTTATTGTAGATTTTGACCAGTCTTCAGGCCATTGTTTGGAATGCCACATTTGATTACAGAGTAGATGAAGTAACTTTACGCCGGTTTCTTCTGTGGCTTTAAGCATTTCTGCTGTTATCATATCTGGACTTGGTGCTTTGTTATATTTGAGCTTGTTGATAGCCTGTCTTACTTCATTTTCGAGTATATCAGGTTCTTCTTCCACCTCGTCAGAGAGGCTAACAAGCTCTTGGAATTGATCATCTTTATATAGGTCCCTGCAATACGATCTCCATGTCTCTGCTATGTCTTCTCTGTTTGTTCTCAGGGTTCCAGTGTTATCTTCAATGGCCCATGTTCTGGCTCTGAAGTCGCTTGTCAGGTAGCGTATTTTTCCAAATAGATCTCTCGGCTGATTATTCTGACCATGTCTCTCAATTTCTTTGCATATACTTTGATAGTACTGTTTTTTGTCGGCCTTACATCTTCGTTTTATTTCTTTATTGAGAT